AGGGCGTTGATGGGTCAGAAGAGGTAAAGCCTCTTCTGAAGCTACACTGGTTTGACGACGGCATTGAATCTGTTGACGCAGCAAAGAGGTCGGAATTCACCCCGTTGAAACTCGCTACGCGACAGGATTAAACTAACCCTCTGATCATAGGCACTTCCAAAAAATCCGTGACACTGACGAGTTCAAACACAAACTGGATGGTACCGTCTTCCTCGCCATCGATCAGTTGAGCGCGCATTCCTACATGAACCCGAACATCCACTCCTCGACCGCCAGCCAGAACTTTCCTACAGCCGACGACCTGAAAGGCCACGTCCTCGCCATCGACGTTGACTTCGACCCGAACGACCCGGGAAATCGCGCAGACGAGTCTCCCGGCTATACTGGGGGGCTGCGGATATTGGGAAACCTGGTTTGGAGCGAGTTGTACCCGATGTTGATTATGCAGTCTGCGACGCTGGAGGATCTGTGGCCGATGGCAATGGAGCATCCGCGGAAGTTGTATACCGGGCTTACAGTGCCGGGCTTGCTTGAGAGGTGGAAGAAGGTCGCGGAATAGATATGGGTAGTTTTCTTTTTTTGCATTGATCCTGGGCTTGAGTCCGTCCCTGTTTTTGGATTAACTATCCGAGAGCACTATTGACCACCCTGTGCATGGAATCTATGTAACCAGATATCCAGCGATAATCGACGCCTGAACAAACCGTATAACCTCATTTGATGCCTTGTTGATCATGCTAGGCAATAATCGCAAAATTCTGACAGGGCCTACCAATTGCAAATGTAAGAGTGACCAAACTCCATAACTCCAACAGTGTTCCCAGCAACTCCTCTGCTCTGGCAGGAATAAGACCATCACATGACATTCAATGGCGGGTGATCCTGGCTGATGCTACTTCCCCCAGTGGTAGAGAGAGACGCCTTGGGGCGTCCGCTAGAAATTAAATCAAATTACTCTTCTTCTAACCTCTGATCTGGCTCGACCTGTGTGGACATTGATACTGCACGGGAAGGTAAAGGGGACTAAGGGACTTACGTTGTAGCTACAGCGCGGGTGCTGAATGCAGAACAGACGACGGCACACTGAATTGCTGGCCTGTTGGGGGCGCTGGACACAGAGCAGAGAAAACAACATCGAACCTAACAAACCTGTCAGGACTCGTCACATTATCTATCCAAATTTAAGAATTTACGAATTCTCTCCAATGCCTGTAAATCCCCAGCCTTCGTGTTGGCAAGCTCATCACCAATCCACTCAGGGGTGCATCCCCCTTCAAAATCAATAACGCATGCATTTCCATCAGTGTTGATTAGCACATTATCTGGTTTCGCATCCCCCCATACCTTGTCACCCTGATGAAGCGTGCGGACAGCCTCGGATATCTGATCATACCACCGCTGACGGTCATTATAGCTTGAATCCGGTGGGTATTCAGATAGACGGAACAAAGTCGGGATTTTCGTCATGAGGAATCCACCCCACTTGGTATCGATCCCAATGAGTCCTTTGAATCTTGGGGCACGGATGTTGGCCTTCGCGCAATGGAGCAGCAAGGAAGTCTCCCGCAACAGGTCTTCATGTGATTGGGGCATCTTGTAGACGAGGGTTTCGCCGTCGATGTCAACTTCGTAGATCTGACTTGTGGCGGTGTTCCAACGGAAGTGCTTGACTTCGGAGAGCTTCCAAACACGGCTAGCGGGAAAGGTTTCCAAGTACTACTCCCAGTCAATGTCGCGGACTGGCTCAAGGTTGGGCGATGGCTCAAGTGAGGCCGTCGCGGGGACAAGTCGAAGATAGGTCACTGCACGCTGCAGAAAGGATCCCAAATTGTCGGGCGGGGGATATCTTGGGCAGACAGGCTTGAGCAAGGGCATGGTAAGGCTGATGAGATCGTAGCGCCGTTCTTGGACACAAAGGTCTATGAATTTGTGTGCAATTGTGTGCTTTCCATCTCGCTCGTTGTATGGATTCTCAATGGTAATCTGATAATCGATACATTCCACTTTCAGGACGATGAAGATGGATTCCAGGGCACCTTCGCTTGCCATATGGCCAGATGATATCAGTCGGATACGGCGCGGCCCGCTGTCAGGGTACACCGGTGACACAAAACCCCTGGCCGTACAGGCCCGGTCTCTGTGACTAATAGTCTCGGATTCTAGTTCACCTTAGCCTGAGGGTCACCCAAGCCAACCAAGTGCTGAGTAACCTACCCCAGTGGCCTGAATGAACGAGCTCCATTATCGATGCGTCCTCGTCGCCGGAGGCCGTGACTTCAGCCGTGGGCGGGCTATTCGCAGTGGGAACAATATCTTCCGAACAGGCTGCCGCCGCAGGATCGCTGACCTCTCCTGGAGACTCTGCGGAAGGTTTTTCGGCCTTTGGAGGTGGGGTGGTTCGTGGGTTATCCAGAGCCGTCTTCGCCTTTCTCTTGTTCTTCGCCTTGGTTGCAACCGAGCAACTGCCCTCGGCGGGCGCAGCTTGAACGACTAGGAGTCCAGTGACGACATGTTAGCTGTGACAGACTAGATTGACGCACTGCTTTAGTCCATATGTGCTTACCGGGGTGGACAGTTTTGGCGTTTTTCACCATTTTGTAGCGGGGAAGCTCGTTGGGATTCCGAAGTAGACGACAGAAATGTAAGAAGATCAGATAAAATTGGATGTAGTAAGTAAGGTAGCAAGGAAGAAGCTCGTTTTAACGCGAACTGTCAAGTAGTGGTTGAGGGACGATAAGAGGAAAGCTCAAATGGATGGTACACGACTCAAGCAGCTCAGAAAAAAGTGAAGCAGTAAGAAAGCAAAGAAACAGGCTCGAGCTTTAGACTGTAAGTGGCCTTGAAGATATTCTGAAACTAAGACTGCACGATGTTCTGGGTGTTGGTCAACAGAAATAGACTACAGCTCTTTGTCTGTGTACCAATGAAAAAGGAGAGCCTATTTTAAGTGGACTGTGAGAGAACAAGAAGGAAACTGCTGTCTTTGACTAGCCGGGCCAACAGAGAAAGCTACTTTCCCACAGCCTGAAGTCTGAAAGCTGGAATCAACTCAGGATTAGCGCCAGAGGCCTGGACGAGCTGATGTACTGGCGTCGTGCGTTGTCCCGGACTCTTGCTTTAATTTGGCGTTTTGCTTTCCTGCTATCCCCCTTTTCCTTTTGTGTCTTTTTTATTCTTTACGTCTTCCCTTTTGATTTTTTTTTTCTCTCTAGCATATTAAGACCCTTTGCCACCCTCGCGCATGGTTTCTTTTTGGTCCTGCATGTACTTGCAACGTTGATTGGCCTAAATTCCCATCTGGTACAATAATTCGGTAAGTGACAGATTGATCCATTGCTAATCAGCTGCGCAGTGGAGAAAATGTAGCTGGGGAAAGCAAGACTCCACCAGCCCATCGAGCGACCACTCTCGCTCGATGATTAGGCACAATCACCGAATTGTTTCCGTGTAGATATTACATCGGCGTTTATATTCCCAAGTCCCAAGGTTGTATTGCACGTTTCGTAGGGGCTGAACCATATTCTGATATAAGCGAACCAAAGCCTATAGACTCGAACTCACATGGATCGAAAGCAACTTTCTTGGGACAAATCTCGGGCCAGAGGAGATCAAACATAGCCCAGCACAGCAAGGAGAGTAAAGACTATTGCAATGGCCTAAAATACCAAGTTATTCAGCATGATCCCGCGGAGGAGAATCGACAGGCGTGCTGTCGGCATGGTGGTTGCCTGAGGCTACTGGTCTCGACCCAGTAATGAAGCTGGTGCGATTTCGGTCAGGGTTGAATGAGTGGAGCATTGTCGTATGCTCAGCCTTTCCCTGCAATATATGCCCTGATACCAATCAGAGACACTGCATTAAAGTACAAGTAAGTGTTGTGTGGCAGCTCTGAGCTTCAACTCAATGACTGTCCAGGGTCCTGGAGGTTGGTGGAGCTCAACCTCCAACTCGTCTCCACACCACGATGTGGAGGAATCCCCATCATCAACCCTAACTTTAAAGGCACTTCTCTCAATGTCTTGTGACCAGCATGTATCAGTCATCATGCGCTAGCACTAGGGAAAGTATATGGATTATCGTAAAAGCGTTGAGTATTGCTCATGATCGCGAGATTCAAGACTTGCCTACGGTCAAGGGAAAATCAAGTTTCCGCAGTGATAGGCTCACGCATGGTGACCACACCCACGGCCAAAACAAAAAAAAATACAACAACAAACTTGGCACGCACGCGCGTTGTCGTAGAGCACCAAAATAACAGAGAAGAGCGAAAAGGTAATGGCCGGAGCAAGAATCGAACTTGCAACCTTGCCCCCCTTTCGTCACCTGGGTAGTGTCGTTTGGAATCCAAAAAAAGGAGAAAGCCACAGCATCCACTTTAGGCCAACCAACATTCTGCCCTAGCTGAGCTACCCGGCCAAGGCCATTGAAGAAGCTGTCCAGTTTGAGGAATGTGAGATTGCTTGGGGGAGACAGTATTGGAGTGCTAGATCTCGGGCAGCTCAACCTGACCACCCATTAGCACCCCACCAGACTGGTGAATGTAGGGTTGTAGAGGACTTGAAGGTATACAGGAAGAGCTGCTTGCAGTGCACTGTGACCGGAACGATACAGGTCTCAGATGTAAGAGGGTCCTTGCTTAAACAACAAGATGTTCCATGAAGGCCAGGAGGTAATTATGGAGCTTCCCAGCCTATCGCGCTTTCCTACAGAATCTACGTCAACGCCTTTCCGTGGCCATAGCTCAGAAATATAGTAGGCGTCTCGGTGTTCTTGCAATAGAAGGAGAAACTGCCAGAAAAGCCAGTGAAAATCCAATAATCATAGGAATAGATAACGTCGCTGCAGACTAGTAACCCACAGCAAGAACACAGACATGACTTCCAAGCAGAAAGAAAAAAGAAGAAAGAAAGAGCGACCAGGGCACGACTCGAACCAGCAGCCTTTGACTTACCCGTGGCCGGTACCTCCAAGTATCAAAAAGAAATAACAAAAAGGATACCCGGCCCTGGCAAGATTTGAACTTGCATCTGCTGGCTGATATACAGCCAACGCTCTTCCGTTAAGCTACAGGGCCCGAGAGAGGATACCCTTCCAGGGGGTTATAAGGTTGCCGAGGATAACGTTTTCTCGATGGCTCGCGGACTGTTACCTAGAGAGGCTTGGGTGGCACCTCGGCCGCCTTCCAAAGGTGCATAACAAGAACATCATACCTAGCCTAGATTTCGGATGGATCTGGTACTTAGAAGGCAGAACGTCTTGGTTCAATATCAACTTACACAGGGCAGTCATAATATACCTTTTAAAATAGACACGTGAGAGGCTCATGATAATTCCATGTAGTAGTAACAGACGACCACGCTGCAGCCAAACAGCCCGCGGCAGAAGCACACAGAACGTGAAACGAAAAGGCAAAAAGGAGGTCAGGGCAAGATTTGAACTTGGAGCCTTTGGCCCTCCTTTCTAAGATTATTATGGAATTGAACGGAGACCTCCCAGACCACCACCTGCTTTAGGCCGGATGGATGCTTGGGTAACCAACGCTCTACCCTTGAGGACCCGGCCTTGTTGAAGGACTGACTAGACCCCTTTGTGCCTCCCGCTTGGTACACCACAACAACAGTATGAATCCAGATATTCTCGTTCAACAGAGCTTCGAACGCATATATTCTGCTCGAAAATCCTCCTTATCCTACAGTGATCCGGCTACCTAAACAGTGGGTCTCGAAATCGCCTTCACCAACAAACAGATGTTGATTGTCTCTCGGCCCCACTGCCAAGAGCTTAGTCTAAAGATTTTATTCAGCTGATGGCTGGCAGCGCTCACGCGTGTATTAAAATACGATTTCTTAATCTTGATATGTGTGACATGCCTCTCACTAAGCAACCTGCTTAATAAAGGGCCCCAACGCTTGTTCTCTAATCTTTGTTTAGAGCTGACAGATCAACAGAACTATTTCCGTCCTGGCCTCAGCAATGGCTGAAGTGGGTACTCTGTATTAGGTGGAGTGACTCGTTATAGCTAATTGGAGATTAATGGGGCTATATGTGTCCTGCTCATGCATAAGCATGCACAAGTCTAGACAACCATGCACAACTGCAAAGCGAGCGCCATTGACACCGCAATTCCTCATCACGTGTAGTATCACGAACCCTTGGCAATCCTTAGCCAGTCCGATAGTTAACCCAGATATTGTCGGAGCTACGGATATCCCCTTCCGCCTGCCCTGGGGTTCGACCTCGCTTAGTCAGTTAATAAGCAGTTTATCTTAGGTAGTTGGCCGTACCGGCCACCTAATAGAAGACTCATCCATCGCTTCCCACAGATATTGCCCGTCACGTGCTGATGCGATGGGCTCTGGACGCTCCGAGTAATGCCAATGATTGCCTGAGGGTTCCTTCGCTTGGGTCATACATACAGCTAAACAATTGGGCGTGCTGTCTTCAGTTGGAAATACTAAAGCCACAGGATCTTTCACTATGGATTTCGTCTTCCATTTATGTCGACCTTTAGAGACCGCTAGTATTCCGCTTCAACGCCAAACTTACCGTTAGTCAGCGCCTGCTCGGTCATTTATTGTATCGTTTCTATTTCCTATTTTAGTTAGCTAGATTGCCCCTATTTCTCTTGTATTTAGTGCGGCTTCGCTGCTAGATTTAATGAATCAGACCTTCATATTTCTATGGGTGATGTACCAAATATTACGTACGCGGTGAAGTTCGACAATTTACTTGTTGCTCGTACCTCGTGATTACCCCTCCTCAGGGCGGCTAATGCAGATATCTGGTTGGCGAGGATATGTCACGGGACCGGCCTTGAGGCTTCAGTCGAGTCCGGCTCACCAGAGGTTTCTCAGCCTCTACTCCAGCAACATCTGTCGCTTCTTTCTAGCTACCAAGGCTGACCGAATCTTCGCTTGAAACCGTTAGAGTTGACGCTGTCAACCTTCCGAGATGCGCCCATTCAGTCGAGATGAATTTACGATCGCGGTTATCTGCGCGCTGCCCCTTGAAGCCGAGGCTGTCGAAGACCTTTTCAACGAGGCTTATGACAGGTTGGGCGAATACTATAGGAAAGAACCAGGCGATGACAATGCATATGTTAACGGGAGGATCGGAAACCATAACGTGGTTGTGTGCTATATGCCTGGTATGGGGAAGAGGAGTGCAGCTAGCGTGGCATCGAGCTTGAAAATCAGCTATAAAAGGATTGAAGTAGCGCTGGTTGTTGGTATCTGTGGAGGTGCACCATACCCATTATCTGGTGGAGAGCTGTTTCTAGGGGATGTTATAATCAGTGACTCCGTGGTTCAGTATGACTTTGGCAGGCAGTATCCTGGTGGATTCGAGAAGAAATCAGGTGTGAAGGATACACTTGGAAGACCAAACCGAGCGATCCGTTCAATACTAGCGAGCCTCCAGACAAGGCGATCGCGCAAAGACCTTCAAGATAAGCTGCTACAACATCTACAAGCACTTCAGAAATCACAACCTGATTGGTCCCGCCCAACCTCTATTGATGACATCCTCTTCGATGCTTCATATCTGCACAAGCACGATGGCCTTACTTCAGCTACGTGCCTGTGTCTTAATGGGACGCCCGAGGATATCTGCAAGGCAGCTGTCAACTTAACCTGCACTCGTCTAGGCTGTGATCTGGGCCGTATATGTCGATGTCGATCCAGCACAGAAAGCAGCAGCCCAAGGGTCCATATCGGGACAGTTGCATCCGCTGATACCGTGATGAAATCAGGTGAGCACCGTGATGGTCTAGTCCAGTCAGAGGGTGTTATTGGCTTCGAGATGGAGGGTGCAGGGGTGTGGGACAATATATCATGCATCATCATCAAAGGGGTGTGTGACTATGCAGATACCCACAAGAATAAAGCATGGCAAGCGTATGCAGCAGCAACTGGGGCCGCGGCCGCTAAAGCTTTCTTGGAGTATTGGGAACCTACTGCTCGAGAAGGTTAGCACATTAATATGAGACAAGTACCTGCATGCTAAATACTCACGCTGTTTAGAAGTCAACAAATTTCATATCCCGCTAGACCTTTCAGCGGTTCCTGCGATTGAGGAGTTTATTGGACGAGAAGATGACCTCAACCATCTATGGGACTATTTACAACCAAGAAGTTCACAGAACCGAAGGGTTGCTGTGCTCCATGGTCTTGGTGGAATAGGAAAGACACAGTTAGCAATCCACTTTGCACGCAAACATCAAAATAATTTCACGGCAATCTTCTGGCTAAGTGGCAAAGATCGATCTGCCTTGGTGTCATCTTTGAGTTCTTGCCTCCCTCGGATCCTAGGACAGCCCGTGGATAATAAGGTAAAGGATAAAGAAGCAGAACAAAGTGCCAGACAAGTACTCCAGTGGCTAGCCATGCCTGGCAACAACAGATGGATTATTATCTTTGACAACATTGACCAATATGCCCCACTCCCTGACTATAACACATGTGGATATGATATCCGTGAATTCTTCCCCAAAGCTGACCATGGTTCTATTATAATCACCTCCCGAGTCCAGGAGATTATTGAAGTGGGGAAGTCATTTCCAGTTCAGAAACTTATGCAGAAGGATGCTGTCCAATTATTTCTGCAGAGCAGCGGCTTCTCGGGCCAAGACATCACACAGGCAGAGGCTGAACAAGGTATAATATCCTTAGATAAACGCTAGGTCTAAGACTAACACTTGTAGGTATCATCACTTTGATGAACCAGCTGGATGGACTCTCTCTGGCAATTGTGCTTGCTGGGGCCTTCATACGTGAAACAGGAACTAGTATCAAGGAATACCTACAACTCTACCAAAGTGCATGGTCTGAATTACAGTCTCAGGCCGCGCCTAAATGTCAGTGCCAGCAAGACAACATCCTCGAGACATGGAAGATTACATATGAAGAGATCCAGAAGCGAAATCCAACTGCTGCAACACTACTGCTCCTACTTGCTTCCTTCAATAACCAAGATATTTGGTACGAACTAGTTGAGTGTGGTTTGAACTGCTCCGACCCACCAGTTTGGTTTAAGAAGGCAGTATCAAGCAAACTAGCTTTCAAGGCAACAATCAAGATGCTAATCGGGTTTTCTCTTGTTGAGACAAAACAACTAGAAGGAAGCTATACTATCCATCCAGTTGTACAGGACTGGTGTTCGCATATTGCTGCCTTGGAAAACCGTACCGTCCAGCTATATGAACTAGCACTAATCTCTGTTGGGTACTTCGTTCCAAGCCAGGATGACAGAGACTATCTAAGGCTTCAGCAGCGGCTGCTGCCACATGCGAATTATCTAATTCAAAGGGAGAGACTCAATTGGCCAGACGATAAGCTTGCTATTTGGGGAGCCTTCAATGGCTTAGGGGATCTCTACTCTTATCAGGGCAACCTGAAGGAGGCGGAGGAGATGTATCAACAAGCACTGGCAGGCTATAAGAAGGCAGTGGGTCCTGATCATACATCCACTCTGGATATAGTCAACAATCTTGGGATTCTCTACTTTATTCAGGGCAAGCTGGAGGAGGCAGAGGCGATGTATCAGCGAGCACTGGCAGGCTATAAGAAGGCAGTGGGTCCTGATCATACGTCCACCCTTGATACAGTTCATAATCTTGGGGTTTTCTACTTTAATCATGGCAACCTAAAGAAGGCAGAGGAGATGTATCAGCGAGCACTGACAGGCTATGGGAAGGCAGTGGGTCCTGATCACATGTCCACCCTTGCAACAGTCTATAATCTTGGGAATCTGTACAAGGATCAGGGCAAGCTGAAGGAGGCGGGAGAGATGTATCAGCGAGCACTAGCAGGCTATAAGAAGGCAGTGGGTCCTGATCACATGTCCACCCTTGATACAGTCAATAATCTTGGGATTGTGTACAAGGTTCAGGGCAAGCTGGAGGAGGCAGAGGCAATGTATCAGCAAGCACTGGCAGGCAAAGAGAATGCAGTGGGTCCTGATCACACATCCACCCTTGCAACAGTCTATAATCTTGGGACTCTGTACAAGGATCAGGGCAAGCTAGAGGAGGCGAGAGAGATGTATCAGCGAGCACTGGCAGGCTATAAGAAGGCA